TATTATTACAGCCTTAAACTATTCGTGGTCTTAATTATCCCCCTCAACTTAGCCTTTTGAGAGTCAGTACACCCCTCGATGCTGATGTGGCAAAGAGTGTGGGTACACTCGCCTGCCACATAGATTTTTCTGCATAGGTGGCATTTTTTTGAAAGATAAAATATATTTTTACCTTTTTAAGTATGTTACCTTTTTAGATAATTTTTTTCGAATACAATTTATAATAATATTTGGATAGAACTATATTATTTATGCTAAATGTTTTTATTTGGTTAAAATAATAAAGTTTTAGTTAATCTATTTTTGAATTTGACTTGATAATAAAGATTTATACAATTGAACTAAATAGTCAAGACATCTAAAAAGTTATAAAAATACATAGTTTGAAATTAATTATTTTGGATACAATTTTTATATAGCTCTAAATTATGGCGCTCTAAAAGTGTGTGTGTGTGTGTGTATATATATATATATATATATATATATATATATTACAGATTTTACCTGAAAAAAATAAAAATACACAGTTGAAATAAATAATCATTGCATCAAAAGAAGAAATAAATAAAGTGTATCGCTTAGTACAATAACTAAGCAGCCAAAGTACGCTTCAACCATTTTTTTCACTCGCTTCTCTCTACTTTCTCTCTCTAGAGCACGTTAGTGAAGTTACTATGCTCAGCCATCGGAATGGCCAGAGGAAGGCTGGCGAAGAAGCAAAATAATAAGGCAGCAGTGGCCATTGAGGCTATTGCCAAAAGGATTGGTGTAGCAGCTCCATGCAAGGAGGGTGAAGGGATAGAAGAGGAGTCAGAGTGGCCAAATTTGCCAAATCGGAGGAGTGGACGTAATACACCACTATCCAGTGCAATTGTTAGCGGAATTATGCAGATGAGCAACAACCAGACCAAAGGAACTCCTCAATCAATGGTTCATGTACATGCATGTGGAGATCAACTTCAAAAAGAACAGACAGAACAGGGAGGTGACAAGGTGATAGAGATGCAGAAGGCAGAGGAGGAACCACAAGCAAAAGGGCCTGAGAACAAGACATGGGCTAACCCAGTAGGAAACAATCGATTTGGACTACGAGGTATGAATCTCAGCTTTGTGGCTCCAATAGTGCAAAATTAGGAAACTATTATGGAATTAGCAAAAATTGAAGTGGATAAGGAAACAGAGAAATGGCAGAATGCTCTAATATTATACGTAGTAGGTAACACACCTACGACCGGAGCTCTGGAAAGATTTGTTGCTAGCCAATGGAATTTTGTGGTTAAGCCGATGATATTTTACTATAATGAGGTATATTTTGTAATAAAATTCACTAATATGGAGGATAGAGATGCAATTCTGTTTTCTGGGCCCCATACGATACGCAATAAACCTATAATCACTAAAGTTTGGGCGCCTGATTTTAACTTCAAGGATGAAACTCTAAAAACTATTCCTCTGTGGGTCACTTTGCCAAATCTGCCATTGAATTGTTGGAGTGCTGATTCACTGAGTAGGATTGCGAGTGGGCTAGGGGTTCCGTTGTACGCTGATGAGTGTACAACTAAAATGGAAAGGATATCGTATGCTAGACTTCTAATCGAAATGGATGTAACAGTACCTGTAACGACCCGACCGGTCGTTTTGAGCCCTAGCGCGTCGTTCAGCAGTCCGAGGCCATGAGCAGCTTCAATTTAGGGATTTCGACTTGTACGCGCGGTCGGAATTGAGTTTCGGGAAATCCGGAGTTGATTTGGGAAGAGAATTTTTATTTCAGGAGCTTAAAGTTGAAAGAATGAACTAGGATGGAAATTTTGAGCAAACGACCTCGGAATCAGGATCTGAAGGTTCCAGCAGGTTCGTATGATGATTTTTGACTTGGGCGTATGCCCGGTTCGGGTTTTGGATAAACCGGGAGCGTTTTTGGCGCCTATTGTGGGAGTTAGCATTTTAGAAGAAATTTCATAAGTTTGGCCTGCAGTGCATTTTAGTGTTATCGATGTCCGTTTGGGATTTCGAGTCTGGGAATAGCTCCGCATGGTGATTCTGGAGTTGGGAGCGCGATCGGAAGTGAATTCGGAGGTCCGTAGGTCATTTTGGAGCCATTTGGCTAAAGATAGAAATTTGAAGGTTTTTGAGAAGTTTGACCGGAAGTGGACTTTTTGATATCGGGGTCGGAATCCGATTCCGAAAGTTGGAGTAGGTCCGTAATGTCGAATATGAATTTGTGCAAAATTTGAGGTCAATCGGACGTGATTTGATAGGTTTAAGCATCGAAAGTAGAAGTTGGAAGTTCTAAAGTTCATAAAGCTTGAATCGGAGTGTAATTCATGGTCTTAGCGTTGTTTGATATGATTTGAGGCCTCGAGCAAGTCCGTAATGTGTTTTGGGATTGGTTGGTATGATTGGTTGGGATCCGGGGGGGGGGGGGGGGTCTCGGGTGGATTCCGGGTGGTTAACGGATCAAAAATGGAATTTTAAGAAGGCTGAAGGGTCTGGTTGCTGTCATAACCGCACCTGCGGAAAAGGGGCCGCAGGTGCGGCGCCGCAGAAGCGGCCAGGAAGACCGCAGATGCGGATTTTGGTGAGGGGTGCTGGAACTGCAGATGCGGTCAGGGAGCCGCAAATGCAGGGCCACATCTGCGGAAAAGGAAGCGCAGAAGCGGAAGCTGGGGAGGCCAGGGTGGACCGCAGAAGCGGCCTGGTGACCGCACCTGCAGAACCGCAGAAGCGGCCCAGGGTCCGCAGGTGCGGAAATGCCTGGAGGCAGAAGGCATGTTTTATATCGGGGTTTAAGCTCATTTCTCTCATATCTTCAAGGCTTGGGCGATTGTTGGGGAGCTTCAAGAGGGAATTTTCGTCATCTATGTTAAGGTAAGTTACTCCTACTCATTTCCAAGTTAAATACAAGATTATATCATGGAATTAGGCATGAAAATTGTGGGGAAATTGGTATTTTGGAAGAAGACCTAGAAATTTTTATAAATTGCATTTCACCATGAATTTGAGCATGGAATTAGGAGTAAATTATATATTTGAGCTAGTGAAGTTATGGGTTTCGTATATCTTCGAGAAATTTCGGAATCCGGGCACGTGGGCCCAAGGGCATTCTGGTCATTTCGCTAAGCGGAGTTGGGAATTTGTATAATTTGAATTGTTAACAAGTATTTGAGTATGTTCTCATTAGTTTGTCGTCAATTGGTTAGTTTTGGTGCAGTGTGCGTCGGTTCAAGCCTTCGGAAGGATGTAGAATGCCGGTTATGAGTCTTCGGAGCGAGGTGAGTCTCCTTTCTAACCTTGTAAGAGGGAATTGTCCCCCTAGGTGAAATAATTGATTATGTGCTCCTATATGTGGGGGCTACGTACGCACGAGGTGATGAGAGTTCGTGTGTAGCTACTATTATGCTATTGTCCGGGTAGATAGGACCCAAAAGCATGTTATACTTGGAATAATTATGAACCCATGGATAGCCTGAATTGCTTAAATCACATTGAATTAGTAAGTAAATTTCTAAAAGGACTAAACTTCATTTCTTAAAAGTTGTTAATGGAGAATTTGTATTATTTGGATAATTATTCCCCAATAAATTCTTAATTGGCTACTTGAACATGTATTTTATGTGTACCTGCATCGCATGCATGATTCGCGAGCAGGGTATGTGTTTATTTATGGAACGGGCCGAACACTTCGGCAGATTAAATAGATGCGTCTATGGTTCGGGCCGTTCGACCCTCGGCAGTGTACAGTTTACATTTTTGTTGGATCGGGCCGTCGCCTCGGTGTGATTTGCGCATGTTATTTGTCGCTTGAGAATTTTAAATGTGGAAATTGCCTTTCATGGCTTGATATAAATCGATAGGATAATAAAAAGTAAACTTGAAAATCCCTTAATATTTGCTAAAGGTGTTTACCTGTTTTTCCGCCTTGCGAGATAGAACTGCTATAAATATCCATAATTTCCCCACATTTTTATTACACTATCATTGGACCCCTAGTAAGTGTCGAAGTCGACCATCTCGTCTCTACTTCTTCGAGATTAGGCGGGATACTCATTGAGTACACGTTGTTTACGTACTCATACTACACTTCTGTGCATTTTTGTTGCACAGGTATATGTATCTCTAGCAGCCTTCTGGGCGTAGCAGCACGGGTGATTCTGGGGCTAGGTGAGTTGCGGTATGCGAGGCGGCCCGCAGCTTGTAAAGTCCCTTCTAGTAAATTGTATTTTCTTTCTGTCCATTGTATTCCGGACGGATGTTGTATTGTATTTGATATCCTTATCAGTAGATGCTCATGCACTTGTGACACCGGGTTCTAGGATGGTATTGAAATGTTTTTTTTATTGATTGCTATTATATAATTTGAAATGAAGCAGCTACTTTTGTACTTATGAAATTTAAAGGAAAAATCTCGATCTTTTCAAAAATTGTTAAAATTGGAGTGTAATTAAATATTTAGTTGTCTTGCCTGACAACGGTGTCCGGCCCCATCACGACCTATAGTAGATTTTGGGTCGTGACAACATGGTATCAGAGCACTAGGTTCCCGTCGGTCTCACAAGTTATGAGCAAGTCTAGTAGAGTCTCGCGGATCAGTACGGAGACATCTGTACTTATCCTCGGGAGGCTACAGGGCTGTTAGGAGTACTTCCCTTCTTGATTTCCTTATCGTGCGGTTCAATTCCTTTGAGGCTTATGCCTCTGATTTCTTCCTACTCAATCTTACGCGAGCGCTTGTTATAAATCGAAAATTGAAGGATTGTAATGGCACTACGAATGTGGTGCGGGGTGATTCTCCCGGTATAGTTGATTGGACTGTTATAGTCGCCTTATGGAAGGATATTCTATTGTTCAGCTCAGCAACAGAACTTCTAAGAGCCTTGAGGCTGGGCACAGGTTGCCACGATGCTTATGAGCGATTATTCCGCAGTATTGTTGTGATGGTAGGATGTTTGCCCACGCGTCGGGGCAGTGAATGACTTGAAGGGAGGTTTACTTAGTACATAATCACAAGATTCAGTATTTTATTCCCGGGAGGGAAGGGCAATCGAACTAAGGATGGTCAGATATGGACTGATGAAAGTAATGAGGCCTGGTAATTGCAAGTGTGGTGGATTTTTCTCCTATGATGGGGTACTGTTGTCCTAGTTGGACGTGTTCAGTTTGTCGGTGTTATGATCTTCTACAAGCCGCCTTTGGGGCAAGATATTGTGAAATAGTATCAGAGATACAACCGTCAAATATCGCAGGGTGCGGTGGTTCAGGATCGAATCAATATTTCTAATGTTGGCATTTCGATAAAGATGACCTTCGGAAAAGTTTAAAGCTAGTAGCAATTTGTGGATTCAAGTGCTATGAAGATAAATTTTATTAAGGCAGCAACTGAACAGCAAGATGAGAAAGATATGTGGGAAGTGTCAGGCGGAGTTTTAAGCTTCTAAAAGGCCAGGTTTAGGAAGCGCAGGTCGAGCAATTGATTAAAGAAGTGAGTTTTTCCAAAGTGGGAGAGTGACGGAGTTGCATATGGGCTTTGCGGTGGGATGACCACGTACCTTAAGGAGGATTTGGAGCGATTTGAGAATATTAGCGCTTGGCTATTGGGGTCTACGGATCTGATTTGAAGTAGGGATTCTTGTGCGGCAGGAGATTTAATATAACGGAAAGGAGCCGCTTAAATGAAGGAGGATGCAGCATAACTTTGAATTTGAAAGATTCCGGGGAGGGCTTCCTATAGGTGGGTTACTCAAGTGAGCGAGTTAGCGGTCGCGTGGTTGGCGAAGCTTCTGCGAGGAATTCTATTGGTGGTGCAACAAAGGGGTCGGTTATGCAAATGTGTATGATGAGTCGGAATATAAGAAGGGGGTTTAATAGAAAGATTTCGAGAGATTTAGGCGGTTGATTGCGTAAGGTTAAGGTTATGTCAATAAGAGATAAAGAATTCCGGTGAGTCCCAGAGTTGTGTAATAATGGCTTCAAGCTAAGTGGGAGAGTCCCACCGCTTATGATTGGGTTGCATAGTTAGCTACTTACGAGGTTTCTGGTTATTAGCATATGGATGAGCCGTTTCAGCTACGGGAAAAGGCCATAAGTGGTAATTTAAGCAAAGGAATTATTAAAGGTGGGCTATCGTTGGCCTTATTGGCCCATGTTCAGACTTGGGGAAGGACTCAGGGTGTATGCCTTGTATAAATACGGGTTTCAAAGGAAGTGATTCCGCTGGGTGCCTCGTTGAGAGGGTATTCATGCGTTATAAGATTTATGAGGTTGATTATATTCGGGACCAAGTCAGAGCGGGTGGCTCTCAGTAACGGTCCTAATGGATTCAAAAGAGGTAAAGTATGGTGCCTAATGATTTTGAGCCTATAAGTACAGTTAAGAATCAAGCTTTTGCAGCAGCTTATGAGTGGAGTCTAGAATGTTCTATGGTGTTTGACTCGCAGTGTAACTCTTGATAGAAAGAGGAGAAGGACTTCGGGTTCGTAGAAGGATTAGCAGAATGCGCATATCAGTTGGGAGTGCGAGTGTGTGCACAAGGAAGGTATGAACTGGTTCGTGGGATTTGAGGCAGCATGGTCTCGTGGTTCAAGGTCACTCGGGGTAAGTGCAGCTGGAGTATGTTATGT